ATAACAGCTTTGAAAGTGGTTAGAGCTGGATTGTATTCTCTCTCACTTGTCTGAGTAATAGACACTCCAATATAATCATTGCTTACACAGTTACAAAGGCCACTGTATATATTTCAGCTTATTATGGAGAGAGTTCTAGAAATCTATGGCTGAAACACACTGGAAGGTGTGGACATCTAAAACTTGAAATGTTTCGTCATTATTTCCCACCCAAAACATGTAATCTTGCTCAACGAATGATACATTTGCAGAGAATTAAACAGAGCTCATCACCAAGCTATTGTGTGGCATTCACTGGAAGATCAGAATCCACCAGAACTTGATCTGGAACAGTATTGCTGGGAGAAGGACACTAAATTGAAAACATTACAACCGGTAAACTTGCTCTGGAGTCTGCCATGTGGCTCATCAGATGTGGATGCAAGAATGACAACTCATGTAGTACGTGTGCTTGTAGCTGCACAAGGGATGGCTTAGATTATACAATATTTTGCGCTTGTGCTGTCACAGGTTGCAGTCTGAAACATGACTAAAGGATTAAACTGTATATTACCTAGTTTTGTGGAGGTTATGTTCCTGTTTCGCGGGTAGAATTTGTTTTTGAAATGTTAAACAGCTTGTGTCTCCCTTTTCAGGACCGATCCATGTGACCCAGGAGCCCCTGATAGGGATGTATGTGGTGTTATCCTATCACTCATACGCTCCTATGTCCAGAAATATATAGTTTGTCTCTAAATATAGTTTGGTTCGATGAAATAATCGCCCCCAAACGCCGCTAACGAGTTAAAGGGCCATATTGTCTGGCATGTTTGATTTTACTATCATCTACTCACCCCACAACATAATAAATTATTTCAGTGTATTCCTTGATCCCAGAAACATATGGTTAGACACCAAAATTATCATCCTAGAATAAATACTATGGGAGCAATAAGGGATTATTTGATGTGGCGGCCGTCTTGGACGCCATCTTGAATTTTTCAAAACACTCAAGGGTGACCGAGGTTCACCCGGCAGATTCTGAAAGAGGACACTCTAGGCTACTAAAATCAATCATAAAAAAACTTTGTATAAAATTTCCAGGTTCACTCAAAATATTTGGTTTGGCGACCGGACTAAACATGGAAAGTTATTAAACCAACCCTATATCATGGTGTATGATAAATTGTCTGACTTTTGCCAGTTCTGCCTTTATTGATTTCTCAATTATTGTTATTTATGTGACGTTTTGAGAAAAAAGCCATTATTCTGCATTTTGATTTCCTTCCTGTTACAGCTTCCAGATTTATTGATATTCCTGTGAACAGAACATAGTTATTATATGCCTGAATAAATACTGTTCCTAGTACAGAAATAGAATACAAAGACTGTTCAGTAAGACAACCACAAGACATATACCGGTATATGTTATTATTGTGGCAAACATAATATGAATATAATTTACTATTCCCATGTATTATTTTCATCCTTAATCCCTTGACTCCATTCCTCTCATTTTGTCAAGTCAGATTTTCACATAATATCCTGTTTCCTCTGTGAATGTCTGACAACTTTTTATCCAGAACGAGAATTCCACATGAATGCTTTTAGCAGCCGTAGAACTTTATGGATAGATTATTTACAAGAAGACGTACAAGTTCTCCTTTAAAGGAGCTAAATCTTGCAACGCATATACATGTAATAATGTAATATGAATGTATATAAACTGATCTACATCAGTTATGTCCAGCCATATACACAAAGAGTCCCAATTGAATCACAGCCTTTGGCGTCTGGTTATTCCAGTCTACACCTGTAGTATTTTTCTGTGGGATATAGTTAGCCTCGTTCATCGAGTCGCTTCATTACAAATGGCGCTTGATAGCATTCTGGCATGTGATTCGTGTGCCAATTTTAAAATTTTCACCTTGTCATAAATATTGTATATCAGAAGCCCATCTTTTCACAGATGGTGGCAGGGGGAATTGGGTTGGGTTGGGAGCTGGGGAGAATGTGCTCTCGTGCTCCATGGTATTTGTTAATGATGTTGAATTTTTCAGTGAATGAGCAAGGCTCCTCTATCTTTCAAAAAATTATATCAAAATAAATGAATTTAAAGAATGTATTGGGAATTGAAAGGACACTGCCCATAAAAGCTTATCGATTACCTTCATACGGTGGCTGATTCAGGACATTCAAAAATAATATCTTGAGCGCTTGAGATACTAAGTCGATATTAAGTGGGATATTGATTCGTATAATAACTTGCGATATAGGCCTACTGCCCCCATTAGGTGTAATGGGGAATACTTGGTGATGAGCACGGGATGGAGGGGGCGGGCACAGGGTATCCACTCTGTCACTGCATCTGTAAAAATGAACAAATGAATATCTTTATTCTGCTAGTTTATCATTAAATAATGCACAAAATTATACAGCTTCAAACATCTGTTGAGACGTGTTTGATTATATATCTTGAGCGCTCGACTTAAAGTATCTCGAGTGCTCGACTTAAAGTATCCCGAGAGCTCGACTTAAAGTATCTCACGCGTTCAACTTAATTATCTCAAGCGTTCAATTTAATTATCTCGAGCGCTCAACTTTGTATCTCAAGCGCTTGACTTAGTATCTTTAGTGCTCAAGATTATATTTTTTTTTGCGTGTCCTAAATCAACCACTGTACCTTCACTAATAGTGTATGACATGAATATTTTATTCCAATGTAGATACACTTGCATGATGTTTGGATTGAATTGGATAAGAAACAACAAATAATTAGATTGTATGAATTATTGATTTTATTTAGTGTTTTGATTCCCTGTACCATGTCATGACCTGAATCTCATCACATACATGTAGTTTTGTTGTAACAGTCCAGCGTAAACATCATATTCACTGACAAATTCCAGTTGCTGTGACCAGAATAGGCTTGACAGTTATGCCTCTTTAATTAAAATAGGAAGTTTTCATTGGTCATGACATCATGTGTTGAATGGTGCTTCACCTGAATTAAAATGCAGATAGAGGGAGAATGGGGTTTTATAATGTCCACTGAACTAGATTATTTTGTGACTAATATATCTTTATTTCAATAACTGGCTTGTAATGTAGGTGGAAAGGAACTAGAGAACCAGGAGATAATGTGCATGGTTAGGTTGGCTAGCGTGTGAGAAAAAAACACAATACTTGCATTGATGACAGACTTTATAATAGAAATAAAGCACCAAGGCCGTCCAGAAATAAGATAAATATTGTCAAACAACCATGGTGAGTAACAGGATATGAGCAGGTCTACAATGTTCAATATTTACATTTCTTAAAGGAGATAAATATCTTTGATTTAAATCAAAGTAGAGTATTGAAGTAGGTTGACTGAAGTGGTAAATTGATTATGAATTAAGTTGATTGAAGTGGTAAATTGATTAGTGGTGGAGAAATCTTTACACAAATTTGTTATGAAAATTTAAGTTGGTATGTTTACTAATTCTTGGTTGATTATATCTGAACATTGGTTTTATCTATATGGAAATACAAAACAAGTCAACATATAACATCCAGCCAAATCAACAATTTTATTTTTGATTCATTGAAGGATCCAATATAATAATTTTCGTGGAGGTGTTTCTTACTTATCTTTCTCTCAGAATTTATCTTGGAAAGTAGATTGTTGTATGTGGTTGTGGTAAATTAGGAGATTATAAGAAAGTTGATATACACATTTTACAGGAAATTTGCTGATGTGGGGTATAATCAGAAAGTATCATTAAAGTTATCCATATAAGCACTAATTGTTTGTATTCTAACATTATAAAGTGAATGATTCCACATCCTATCTCTTGGGAATCAACCACTATATCTTATTGATAAACTGCCACTGTCTATTTTTAGAGAAATAAATCTATAAACCACCATGTTGGATAATCTAACTTACCAGTAATCAATAAAATGAAAATTGAAGTGGATTATTTTCCTGTTCAACTTTGTCTTTAAAATACATCTTTGTATCTACAAATGCAAGCTTGTATTATCTGTCAAATATTTATTTTGTGATACAATACAATCATCAAGCTATTATTGAGTGTTTTGTTAAAACGAACCAAATAATATCAATCAATGTCATAAACATATGCAATCAATCACTTTACCAATATATTCAATCTCACATTGTTGGTCATTTGTTGTTGCATTAGTTTTCAGACTGTATGCACGTGATGCACATCCTGTTTCTTTTAGATTTATGAGACTTAAAATTGTAGATGGAGGACTGATGCCACAATAAAAAAATCAAACAACAAACCACTGAATGTGGATAAGGTGCCTGATTTTTTTAAATGGTTTGAATAGACATTGCTTATATTCTTACAATAATTGATAGACCGTGGAACTAATGATGAAGTTGAATAATGTCTGCTAATCCCTATCGATTTGATATTCATGTTTTATAACAATCTGTACTGGAGGTGCCATTCAGTAGGCGATATCGAGTATATGTCCTCCAAAAGGATGATACAAGTATAAAATTTATTTATCAAGCTGTGGTCCCACTTAAAACAGACTTGCCTGGATCGTATTGTAAAGTGATTTAAAATAAACCCACTCTCACTATGTGTCTCAATATTCAAGATCTAAAAGCAGAGTTGAAGCAAAACATATAAAAATACCACACACTAACACTATTTATGGAATAACAATTACTGGTTTATTAACATGCAACGTTTCAACGATGATAACATATAGGTGTGTGAAATAGCTTTATTTTACGTCCGCTTCCACCAAGGTGATATCGCAGACAACATATAGGTATTATGTTGTTGTTTATTACAGTAAAAGGAAGCCATAAGTATATACATAACAAACACTAATCAAAGTGATGATGACAAACCCTAAATATTGAATACATATCAAAGGCACTAGATGTAAGTGTTAATTAGTAATCAGCTTGCTAAGTTGTTATTAAGCAATCAATGGGATGTACATCATAATCAGATTTTTCATTTTGTTATGTACAAATATATTTGCAGGTCTCGTTTCCACCACTATTCCGATGTATTTAGCAGAATGTTCTCCGATTTATGCTAGGGGTAGTTTGGTATCTACAAATATAGCAATGGTAGCATTTGGTCAGTTTGTCGCCAATGTTGTAGCAGGAATCTTTGGTTCAGACACAGTTAATGGATGGAGGTAAGCTTGTACAGATCTATTGTCTGTCATTCTATTAACAATTCTAGCTAGTGATTCACTGGTCATATTTCAATTTTTATACAGCCACATTTTCATGTGAAGTATATTTTCGTCCGTCCGTCCATGTGTTCACATTTTGGTCACAATTTTTATCCGATTTTGACAACTTGAAATATAGGTTTATCTCCTAAAGATCTTGGTTCCTTTCGATATTTGCGCATATCGTACCTTAACTTCCTGGATTATGACTCATGATTGTACGAAAAAATCACATTTTTAGCTTGTGGACAGTCTAGATGACACAATTTTTATCCAATTTTAAAAAACGTTCTAATATACCACTGTTACACCATAATGGTGATTGAATTCGAATTTTGCGAAAATCGGACCATAATTGCCCGATAAAATGGCCGCTCCTCGTATTCAAATTGTGTAAAAGTATGTAATACCAAGATTGTGGATTCTCTAGAGGTCACAATTTTGATCTGATTTTGATGAAACTTAAAATGTATGTTTATATCCAAAAGATATTGATTAATTTCGATATTTGCGCATATCAAGACTATAACTTCAAGGATTATGACCCTCTAGAGGTCACAATTTTTATCCGATTTTAAAAAAAAGTTCAAATATGTCACCATTAGAACTTATTTATGGTTGTGGTCGAATTTCATGAAAATCAGACCGAAATTGCCGACAAAAGGGACACTCCTCGGCATAGTGTAAAATCCCAAGATTGTGGGCCCTCTACAGGTCACAGTTTTAATCCGATTTTGATGAAACTCAAAATGTATGTTTATATCCCAAAGATCTTGGTTCCTTTCAATATTCACGCATATTGGACGGTAACTTCCTGGATTATGGCCTCTGATTGTACGTAAAATTGTGTTTTTTGGCTTGTGGAACCACTATATGTCAATTTTTATCTGATTTTAAATTTTTTTCGCTTTTTGGCCAAGGTCAAATTTCGTAAAAGTCTGACCGAAACTGACTGACAAAATGGCTGCTCCTCTTACGCAAATAGTGTAAAAGGATGTAATACCATAATTGTGGACCCTCAAGAGGTCACAATTTTGATCCGATTTTGATGAATCTTAAAATATATGGCTGCACCCCTTACGAAAATAGTTTAAAAGTATGTAATACTATGATTGTGGACCCTATTGAGGTCAAAGTTTTGATCCGATTTTGTCCATCTCTTGCAAAATGTGGGCATATCTTTCATGGCAAGCGCTTGTTTGACTATGTGTTGTTTATCCTTGGGAAATCCGCATTCCAGGAATCAATGTTATTCAATTTATCCACTGTCATTTTTACCCAATCATTCTGATTGATTAAAAATATTTTCTTATTGAAAAATACATCATTATTGTGCAGTCATCAGTATGTTTATCATACAATTCAATATTGACATTTCATTTACAGGCAATTATCTAATGTAATGTGATGCTAGATTTTCTGTATTAAAAGATGTTTGAAGGAAACACAGCACTTTATTAGATTCATAATATTGATATTATAGGAGACCTTAATTATCACAAACATTTTGGTCTGTAAGATGGACAAAGGAAAGTGCATGTATTAGTTATATGTACTTGTTCAATTGCATTTTAAAGAGAACCCTTGTTCTCAAAATCAAAGAATTGGAGCTCCACATTGTGTTTGTCCTAGGGACCTACAATTCCTTTATTTTGTATCCTGTGAAGTGATTGCAGGATCTGTTTCCAAGAATTGTAATTATGTAATCGCAGTTATCATAAATTTGAAAGGGAACATACCTGTACAGTCTGAACCAATTGCAGCATGCTGCATTGTTTGTGGGATTTTCTATCTGAGTCAACAAATGTTTATGTGGCCATGTTTTTGCCAAGCTTTTAATTTTATATCCTAAATTTTTGTCCCAAGATCAACTCAAGAGTTCTGTTCAGCAAATTTGTTGAAGCATTAATGTGTGAATTGTGAGATTATTTTGTCTTTACAGACTAGCCGACTGAGTTGTCGTTTATTAAGACATAGTAACAATATTGTCAAACTATTTAAGCCATTATAATTCCTTATTATAATCATGGTTTATATATTTTCAGATATATGCTTGGTTTGGGAAGCATTCCATCATTTATCCAATTTGTGGGTTTTCTGTTTATGCCAGAATCTCCACGGTGGTTGATTAAAGAAGGAAGAGATGAAAAGGCCAGACGTGTCCTGCAATCAATGCGTGGTCAATTAGATATAGAGGATGAGTTTGAAAGTATTAAACAAAGCTGTATAGAAATACAACAAGAAGAGTCTTCACGGGGTAATTTATAGATATTTCCATTCTGTGCTGCTGTAATCTGTTGCAAACTTTAGAAAGAAGAAAAGCCGATTAAGTAACCTAAGACAACATTAAGATGCATTATCAGTATATAATCACTTTGATATTAAGCCAGACGTATATTGTAAATACATTCTATAATTGGGCTATGAGAGAGAGAGAAAGTTTAACCTCCACTTGACGACTAATATCCGGTTCAATTTTATTTCAATAATTCACTTGCGTGTAGATGTGTTGTTTAGATTTAATACTATATATAATCACTGAAAAATTGAATGCAGTAACACATTAAATGAAGAAGCCACTAGGCATGTCAGTAAATATAACACAAGGTCTAAGAACTAAAACCAGCTAGTTGATTGAGGCAATTATCTCTGCAAAGAGATGCTAAGCCAACAGGATAACAAGACAATTTTAATATATATTTGTTTACCGGTTTTTACTGTCCGATTCCGGAAAGCATGCTTCCGTAGCAACGAGGTAAATTCCGTTATAGAATTTTTGTTCCCAATAATACTCATCTAAGTACCAGTATCAACATCTGGAAAAACAGGGCTCAAAAGCTGTATCACATATTTGAATATGAGATTATAACCATCCTACTTCTGTGCCAGTTTTCTCTGGATCTAAAAGAATTTGAAGGGTGAACATCCTTTATTTTAATTCAGATTACTATTTGTTTTTATTAGAAGCCACACAAAGTTATAATGGTGCACACATCCGTCCATAAGTATACTCGTGTGCACAGCATGACGACTGCATGTAGCTAATATTGGATTACATCCAGCTAGACTTAGATACTCATAATGAAACTTGACTCCAGAAGTAGCCAACCCATAACAGTTTTTAGAATTTCATTAGGTCAGAAGAACATATTTCTATAAAATGCAAAAACTGAAATGTTGAAAGCAGCAAAAGCTGTAAAGAGGTTACATTTTAACCTTTAGAAAACTTTTCTAGAAGAACAGATGTCCAAAAAATATAGCTGGTTATGTTATTGATTAACATGTGAAATGCTTGCTGGCTCCCATGATAATTTTTATGATTTGGCTGATTAGGATCATTATTGGCATACTGTGTGTTCAATCAAAACCTTTACATTATCTGCATAATACTGAATTTATCTGTCAATTACTGAAACATGGATGAGTTTTTATCAATGTGATATAATATCGATTTTAGAATGAAATTTCAGAAGGAAGAGGTGGACATGGGAGAATTAGATGTCACATCAAAACACAATATCACTGTTTCTCTCTGTCTACCAATATTTGAATACATCACACCTGTTTGTTTTTTTTATATGAATATATTTAAAGCCAATATTTTAAGCGTTTCTGACTTCTTAAAATCATTGTCATGCATTGGACATTTGCATATTGTCAATGTCTTTTCTTTTAGTGTTACCGAAATAAACACAAATGTTAATAATATAAATATAATTTCAGCTCATAAGCCTATAATTATTCAGATGTTACAGTCATCACCTATACGTCGAGCTCTTCTAGTCGGTTGTAGTTTACAAGTTATACAGCAAGTTGCAGGTATCAACACAGTCATGTAAGCATACATAATCTTTTTTTTTACTGTACTTGAATTGTTTGGAATGCTTCCAAATAAAGCCTATTTCTGGAGTGAAAGAGTAGTAGTTGTACACCATCCATCATTAGCAGATGCCTCTGAATATAAGGAGCCAGACATAATGCTGAAAGGATTTGGTTTGAAATCAATAATGATACATGAGCTTTATTATATTCATTAAAAGTGTTAGAATTACTTTGATTTACCGTAAGAAAAATTACATTATGCAAGAGCTAAATCTGCCTATTGCAGGTCTTTCTTTAGGCCTGAAATATTATATAAACTACTAATTAGACATTTATTAACATGACAAGACCATAATCAACTCTCGATGCCATTGGATATCTCCGACATTAAGTAGATTAGAACGGTTCAGCCATATTTTGATTTAATTTAAAAATGGAGAAGCAAGGCTTAGCTTCAAATATCTAGTATGGTGGTTGCAATTAATGCACACATCTTGTCAAACCTTCAAAGGCTAATATCTTCGCTCGCAATAAAGTAATTTGAATGAAATGTTCAATATATTCATTTTGCATTATCTATTTTCAAACTATTATAGCAAGAATGGCTAGCCCTTGATCTAAATGTTACATAATGTATCTTTAATAGATTGATAATAATAGATATTAAACATGACAAGACCATAATCAACTCTCGATGCCATTGGATATCTCCGGTTCAGCCATATTTTGATTTAATTTAGAAATGGAGAAGTAAGGCTTAGCTTCGAATAACTAGTATGGTGGTTGCAATTAATGCACACATCTTGTCAAACCTTCAAAGGCTAATATCTTTGCAAAAAATAAAGTAATTTGAATGAAATTTTCAATATTAGTAAAACTGATTTTATGTTCACTGGGAGATTATGTAAATTGATATTTCTATTTGAAGGTATTATAGTGCTACTATAATTCGTATGTCTGGAGTCAAGAGTGATGAGTCTGCTATCTGGTTGTCTGCTGTCACTGCAGCCATTAACTTCCTATTCACGATGCTCGGTTTATATTTAGTGGAAAAAATTGGACGGCGACCACTTACATTAGGCAGTCTCATGGGTATTTAATATATCTATTTTTGTTATTTGTTTATTTTAATGAAAATATTATAAAGAAAACAATTCAGCATTTTCACCAATGTCATCATTAAAGTGCACATATGAAATTTTCTGTACTTGTAGCCAGTGGTTACTATATGCACTTTATGGCAAGTTCACACCAATCTGATTAAAATTATGTCAGTCATCTTCATTTAAAATCACAAATATATACCTCCTGAAAAAAAACGACTTTGCCAGTTATCGAAAACACTCTTAATCCCCTCAGACGCCAGTGATATCAGATTGTTTATTCCTTAATTACCTATATACAGACGGGGTGTGGATTCATTAATACCTGACTGATTCCTTAATCCCTAATTAAATAAAGCAATTGATTATGAAATAATTTGTTTTGCAATTTATTTTAATTTAAGATCCAATTTAGAATTTGTTTTATAATACAATAATAAAGACAGTCGCTGTAGCCATATTCCTTGTACAAAAATACTCTTTCTATGAAGACAACAAGATGGGGGTAAATTGTTATCAACGGCACTACGAACATCTATGAAGTCAAGAGATAATTAATTGTCGGCTTTTACGAAACGAAATGGTTTCGTGGTGGTACTTCTGGATGTGATTGACAAAGTAAATGCGTCGAATCCTCTTTGTCTCTGAACGCAGCACACCAACAGAGATTGTTCGTTATACTTCTAATCCAGAGACTTTTTCATTGTGGGATCAATTTTGTTTTCAAACCTGGAAGAAACAGTAATAATCCCAATGTTGTAATTAACATTTATTTTACAAACTTCTTCATTCCAATGACCTTCCACGATATAGTCTGACAAAAAAGTCAACTTTGATATGTCAGTGGTATGTTTTATGATGATCCAAACTCTTATCAAGCTACACATAAAACAAATTTACCTTTAGCTTCGTGCCAGACATCGAAAAAGTGCTTCATATTCAGCAGGTTTTCACGGATTCATTTACCGATTTGACTAGCCAACTGTTTATCATATTCCTGGAGTCATTGTACGGTGCGAATGAGACCGTCATTCTGCAGGTGGATGCTGGATTTGACTTCGTTACTTTAAACCAGATCGTAAAAAAAATGAAATAGGAAAAATATCTTACTATGTAGGCCTACAACTTATTTGGGCTAATTAGTTTTGTTGGTAACTTAATAAACTGAATACAGACTATATTTGTGTATTAATGCAAGTGTACACATTTTGGTAATTTTTGATTACTCAAAACTGACTAAAAGTTGCACAGATAGGATCATAAATTAATTAACACCTCAATATTAGGAGTAGGCTACTGGTGGGATTAAGAACGTTGATTAGGTACCGTAATTATCTTTTGTATGTCCGCCAGTTCGAAGCTATATGTTCACACATACCTTGTCATATTCTTTTTTTGACTTTGCATCGTAATAAATACGAATTAAGACTTACTAATTGTATATCAAATGCAAATTTAGCGTTGTGGTCAGGTATATCTGTCCAACTGTCTCCTCCCACCGTTATACCTTTCTCATTTAATGATTAAGTCAGTAAGCATGTTAATTGAACTGTCAATCAATACACACTAGTCAACTGGTGGTGTTTATGGATAGTGATCAGACCTCGATAGTGTATATTGTATGTGTGGTCCCTGTGACGTCACCGTCCAATCGACCGGATTAAGATTGTAATTGAAAAATTGAAAAGTGTTTTGGAGTGTTTGATACTAAAATGTTAATATGTGGAATAATTTTAATCAGACTGGTGTGAGCTTGCCGTGAGGTGTATATATATATAGAAACCACTGGCTATAAGTACAGAAAATCTCATCTGGTGACCTTATGTGGCCTTTAAGATTTATTGCAATGTAAATGCTTTCCGGCAAAAAATAATATTTCTTTACCCTGTAGATGTGATGTGAGCTTTGAGCACCTGAAGTTATTTTACAAAATACTTCAAAGTTTTAAATTTTGGGGCAAAATAAAGCTTCCTCTTAATGACTGACCAAACAATTAATGTATATTTGAGATATTGTGCACAAGAAATTCTAGATGGATGATCTATGAACCAACAATATATATCCTTAAAATCTTTTGTGACAGTGCACACTACGCGACGACATAGAGGAGATTTCGGTCCCCGACAATGAAAAATCAAAAACTCGCCTAGTGTGTGCTGATATCAGACATGTTTGATATGATTGCCCAAGTCATTGCTTTGTCGGTAACAAATTGTGTAATGTGCTCACCTTGGCGACAAGTCAAGTGACAACCAAGGAAATAAAATCACTTATTAACACAATCATTTTTGGTTATTTTTCTCATGTGACTTAACCACACACAAGGTTTCTCAGAATTTTTTTCTGTTGCATGTATAAGTGGCTCTGGTAATCTAATTTAGGCCTAACTAACTAATTGAAATTAAGTTTGCAATTCTGACACTTAACTATATTTATGATACTCTGGAATATTTCTGGACTCATCCTCACGTAGCCTGTTTTCTATACATACAGTAGTTACCCAGTTTGATCTTGTTACTTGACCGGCCTTGTATACTGAGCGCCATGGAAAACGCATCACTTTTTTTCCCCAAATATTTTATTACTAGGTGGGTTTGTATGTATAATATTATGCAATACTATGAACTATTGTTTCACACAATGCTCCCAAACGCAAAAAATATTGTCCCGTGTGCACAAAAAAAAATTGCACGAGATGCACATGAAAACCCTAATATTCACGTGCAGCATTGTGTGTGAGCCCTTTAAAAGCATGTTTTCAACTTAATGTGCAGTACATGAACTGTGAAACGTCCATCTGTCGTAATTTGTTGTTGGACGTGTGAAGGAATCGAGCTAGAGATGCCGAGACTTACTGAAAATCAACGGAATGAAGCCATGGGAATGTCCAGGGCTGGAATGTCTACACATGCTATTGCCAGACACTTCAGTTGTCATCAGTCCACTATTGTAAGGTTGGTGGAACGTGTTCGAGTTACTGGATCAACACGTGACCGTCAACGTCCTGGTCCACAACGCGTTACAACCCAGGCTCAAGACCGCTACATCCGGGTCACTCATCTGCGTGACAGATTCCCCCCAGCGACTCGAACAGGTGCAGCAGTCGTCGGAAGACAAGGACCAGTAAGTGCCAACACCATAAGACGTCGTCTAAGTGTGCTCTTCAGTGATGAGAGTCGCTTTCATCTTTATCACGCTGATGGCCGTCAACGTGTGTGGAGACGTCTTGGGGAACGTCTTGCAGACTGCTGCATCTTCAAAACGAATCGATGGGGTGTACACTTTTGCAGGGGTCGCGTTAATGCTGTAGCCTACCGTGATGATGGCCCGTGGACACAAGCGCTACTGACATCTGTGTTGTACTTTTGGTTTTGACCCCTCTGACTTTGTACCCTTGATTACAGATTAAACATCCATAAGTGTACAAATGTGTTGTTATTGATGTGTTCCCATTTGAATATTGATTACAATAAGAAGCAAAATAAACAAGATATGTTTACAGGATCATTTTGTTATACGAAAAACTAAGTGATGCGTTTTCCATGGCGCTCAGTATATTAAGATGGTTACGCCGCCTGATAATCATGTACAAAACAATATTAATTGAAGTATTCAACGCGATGACGACTAAAATACATTTAGAGGTGTCACGTGACGACAGGGTTTTTTTTGTGATCGCCAAATTTGTTGTGTAGTGTGCTCACTCCACTTATATCGCGACGATATTTTTCGCCAAACTCGTCGGTTAAGTTGTCGCATAGTGTACGCCAGGCTTTACAAGAGGTCATTTGTTAAATTTAATTAAATGTTATTCTTCTCCAGAAATGGAATTGTTTAAAACATTGAACTCTTGGTTAATATTACAATATAACCCAGATTGCAACAATGTGAAATGTTTTTTAAGAATAAAAATCAGATTATCAGTATGACTATTTCAGGAGCTATTATCAGCTTAGCATGGTTAGCGGTGGGATTTCATCTCTCTTCTCTTAATACACCTGTTGTTGATTGGGTAGAGAAATCAGCATCCGGAACACATTGTGCTCGATACAGGTAATATTATAATACAAAGTTACTGCCAAAAACTGAAAATTGTGTTAACGCTTTTTCTGCAATAATTGATAGGTCTACGCGTAAGCGGTGGACACACTAGCCAAATGATTCGTCTGAATCAATCGGCGTCGAAATTCGCCTAGTGTGTCCACTGTCATTTGGCCAAATGATTCGCCCGAATCAAACAGGTTTGATATATTCGGCCGAATTATATGTAGAATTCATTAGCCAATCACCACTCATCATCCACTCATATCGAGAAGTCACGTGATTGTTTGAAGACATAGATGCCGCCATGTGATGTGAAAGGTGATGCAATCGACCGAAGCATTTGGCTAGTGTGTCCACCCATTCGGCGTCGATTGATTTGGCCGAACGATTCGGCTAATGTGTCCACTGCTTTACTCCATTAGACAATTTCATAGACAGGGCAGTCAAACTGCTTCTAAGAATTCTATGATGCTTTTAATCATAAACGGCTAGAAATGGTATTTAGATTTGCTAAATCCATATGAAGTTCATTGACACAAGATTATTGCTATATCCTAGCGCTATAAATATTATTGAATCGTTATTGATCATATAATAATAGAATAATTTTAATTCAGGAATTGTAATGACTGTAGAAGAGATTTAACTTGTGGATTTTGTTATATTGATTTGGATGAAAATGTGGCCAATTCTTCCTGTTTACCTACTGATTATGATAATCCATGGTTAGCTACGAGTGGACGATGTAATGTTTCAACAGAATATCTACCTGGACGTCTAACATGGGCTTATGATTACTGCCCAACATCTTATTCCTGGATGCCTATGGTTGGCCTTGTACTCTACCTCATATCATTTGCACCTGGTAATAGAATTAAACAATGATCAATCTCGAACCCCAATCCATATATATACCAGATGGTGTGTTGCTTTGTGTCTGAGACATTTGGATGAAGAAAAGGCCCAAAAGAGCTTCCTCCTTAAGGTTTTGGTTGGATTTGTCTTTATGTATTTATTATAAGTAGGCTCAGTTTAGCATACTCTCCCTAGATGTGTCTAGAGCCACTGATTAATCCTGAGATCTAACAAGGGTAAATCAGATTACTGCAAGATATGAAGTGTGTCTGGTAGTTGTAGTGATTTTGAAAGTTACACTGTCAGGAGATCCTACCCATTTATCATGAACATACCTGACCCTCTAGGAAAACAATCCCTATTGAAATTCTATAAGGTTTTTAATCATATATGTATGCTTTATAATATTTGAATTCATTTGTTTCATGAAAAAAAAGTTTGAGGCAATTGTATGACTATTAAATATTTTATCTTTCAGGAATGGGACCAATGCCATGGACAATCAATTCTGAAATTTATCCCTTGTGGGCAAGAAGTACTGGTAATTCAGTATCTACATTTACTAACTGGGTGTTTAATCTTGCTGTGTCAATGTCATTCATAAGCTTAACAGAAACTCTAACTAGATATGGTAAGTGTTTAACAGGCCTGCGATAGTTCCCGATTTACATTGAAGCCTACCAATATTTCACACCTCACACATATATATCAGAGGAATATCTGTAGGAAGAGTGCCTAGATTATTGGGAAAGTTCTGATCAATGATCCAAACCCAAACATTCCCTTAGAAGTATAAAACTTTAGATTTCCTTTAATTAATCCAATTTATTCTGGTAGCAATCAATGTCCAGTGAATAAGGGACATTTATAATCTCTTTGAATAATATTTCTCTTCAAGGTACATTCTGGCTTTATGCCTGTTTAGCGTTTGGTGGAGCTATTATTTTGTCCATTATACTGCCAGAGACAAAAGGCAGAAGCTTAGAAGAAGTGGAAGGATTATTCTCGGGATCATGGTGTGGTGCCGTAGAACAGCCAATAAACTACAGTACAAAAACAATACAATATGTACATATACGTGGATTAAATCGTGATGGGCGGGAATCAGAACTAGATTCGCCAGAATGAGCAGTGAATAGTGAACAAAAGATATTTTTAAAAGTGGTCAAAATACAAAAAAAAAAAACCCAAACATTATCCAGTATATGCAAGAAAGAGAAAAGGTTTGCAGACTGTGTATGTTAAAAAAACACTCCTCTATGATATATTCATGAGGAATAGTCCCCCCGGTTTCCATTAGAATTAGATTAGACACAACCATTGTAATAACAAACAAAATACCAAAAAAATAGTAATGTAAACTTAGCAAGTAAGTTAGAAGTGGTATCAGGTGTTTTATGTTGTTTTTGTTTACTAACAATGGTATTATTAGATAGATACTGTATCTTGTGCACTAAAAATTGTTTATTTCTTCTGTCAAAGGGCATGAGAAAATATTTGTACTATGAAAGACCATGTTTCATTCCATTCACAAGTACTGCAAGTATATTTATTTTAAAATTTCATTTTAAAAGAAGCCAACTTTTTTGGTTTATTTGCTCTACCTACTTGTCATACCCAGCCCACCTATAAATCTGAATCTGTGTTTGATAATACTTGAAGTTTGTTGTACTGTATTATGATTAAATTAATTCTTGCTATTACATTGTATACATTTAAGAAAACATTTATTCCATTTGTGGAGAAAAAAACCAAACAAAAACATGTTAAAATGATTTCATTCAATAATTCTCTATGGACAAAGAGTGTGATCACACAACACCATATATAAAGAGAGTAGGGTTCTATTGTAAATGGGAAATTCACAAATTGAGAGATTATGTTCAGGGATATGATTAAAGCACTTCTTGCATGTGTTGGTTAGCCAACAATTAAACCCCATGAGTGTTTAAAACATTTGCCTCACCCCAATATTTTGTCTTTGGAGAAATATTTTGATGACTTTTGAAATATCAATGATAATTCAGTTTGATTTCTGGGGTAGATATCTTAATTAGTCACAGAGATGTGGTGTACCTACGTCTTTCATACTTTTTCCCACCAATTATATGTTACCCAGTCAACAACTATTTTTTAATTCTAGTTTTCCCTTGTTTATTACATTTTACAACTACTTATACCATTTTCAATTCAATAGCTCTAAAATTTAAAGAATTTGTTTTTTTTTTTCGGGTAACCTCCCCCCTTAATAAACCTCACAGGGAAGGTGTTCAATATCTATTGTAAAATATTCAAGCTAGCACATCAGATCCATTTGTTTACAATTTAAACTGAGACAGAAAGATAAAAACACTTTGATTATTGTAAAAAAAAAAGAATTATATTGTTGTATAAGAAAGTGCATCAAACTGGAGACGAGTGAGGACAGCAAAAACATTCAAATCAAACTACATGTAGTGTGATGTTGGTCAGCCTAGAGACTCAGAAGAAATGGAATTCACAGAGCTTGGTCAGCACATATACAAGAAAGTAAGTGTTAATTTGTGCATAATGGGCTGCTAGTGCAAAGAACAAAGATACCAGTATGTAATTTCATAAGTTTTAGGTTGATAATTATGCATAATTTTATAGTTATTTATTTAAATACTTTATATAAATGTGTACATGTCACATAATACAGCTTAAAGGAGATTGCCAATCTATTTCTATATTCTAACAAAAGATAGATACAAATAACAACTATTCAGATTAACTGTCAATATAATTTTTTTGAGTGGCTCCATTCGAGCAATACCCTTAATTATCTAACATACCAGATCTTTCAATTGCGTCCCTAAACTTACAAAATAGCAATGTTGTGAAATTTGATAATTTTGTGTGTTGATATTAACTGGTCGTCCTGTGTCTACTCTTTCCAAGTGGCTAGATAGTTCTAGTTTCACTATGAACACCATCTTTAATTTATAATGATCTAAAACATTTTTATCATTGTTATCTCACTGTTAGAATAAACATAGAAATAGGTGGATCATCTCCTTTACTCATCACCTCTTTGTATAAAAGTAGAGACTGTCTAGGATAATCTACATTCATAAAATTGCTCATTCATTCATTCATCATTCATTATTTTCTATGATCATGTGTAAAATAGTTTAACTTACCATCTCAATATTTATATCTTTGTTCTGTATGTAAACCCTTACCTGTGAAAATCTTTAAAATAAAAGCATATATATTGTATTCTGAATAAATATCCACAAACTAATTTACTTTCTCATCATGAAAGTTTCTATTTTTATTAGGGTGACTTTATTTAAAACATGCCAATGTAAAACACATGTGTAATAGTTTATCAAACTAATCTGCATAATAAATATATGGAGAGTTTATTTTTGAATGAAAACATGAAGCAATATTTTAAAATAATAAATAAATGTTGTTATATGGTACTATTATCATCATCCTCGGTTACCCAGTGTACTCATTCCGTTCTACTCCACTATACCCTGGGTTAATCTAAGGGAGAGACATGTTTTCAAGTTATCCGCCCTTGATGATTGTGCTATTTTTATCGACCAATCCCATAAATTGTTATTTGAAAAGGAAGTTGGCAAAGTGAAGTAACTCTCATTGGACAATGTTAGGAGTTGGCCTATTCTAAATGCGTAATTATTAACAACTAATTATATATTATGTTAATGAAGACCAGACGTTCATATAGGGTCATTAGTTTTATTTAGAATCGTTCATTCGTTCCCAGAATTTTATGTCCACGTGATATGGTAGACAAGTTATTGTGAATCAAATTGCCAAGTATAAGTTCAATAATAATAAACGTAACGGAATGACATATTTCAGACAAAGAAAGAATAGTATTAGTAATAATAATAACAAAAGTCAAACATATAGATGTTATACATATTTGAAATCAACAACACCTACTACAGATTTTGATAATACATTATTTACAAAAATCATTTAGTAAATGGACATGAATATGGTTATCTACCATTATAAAAACGAAGGCGAAACGATTGGTTTGTAAACTGTTTTCTGATTGGCTTGTAGATTGTAGCTACATTCTAGGCCAGGGCAGATAATTTGAAATCGTGGAAACCCTATGGATTAACCCAGGGTATAGTGGAGTAGAACGGAATGAGTACACTGGGTAACCAAGGATGTATTATCATATGCTTTGTTAATTGTTGAATTATATTTATGTTTGTATAAATAGTATATTATTAATCAATGTTGTTGTCAATTGTTGGTTGAGCTCAAAATATGTAAATAAAAATATATATCTGCATTAATTATTATTTAGTGATTATTATTTTAGATTATGACCATCACAGGAATGGTTGTTCAATAATTTGATTGTCAGGAAAAAGTCATTATTAACCTACCAATAGCTTTTTCACGGAGAACAGATATTCATTTTCAATTATTGTTTATTAGAGAATTCTAAGAAAAAATGTTATATATATTTAAACTGTTCAGATTCAATACACAAATAAGCAAAACAGAAATGGAATACAGAAAGAATAGCATACTTGAATATGATAGAAAAACTTAACTTTTCAATAACATTTAGCTTTAGATACTCTTTAAAGATGGGTTCCCGGAAAAGTATTTATCAGGTGGTTATTTCCAATAAAAGTATGGTAATTTTGGTACATGGAAAGTAGAGATATCCAATCTTACTAGAAAAATACTGGATTCCCCGAAAAACACTCATGGAGCGTATACAGGACAAAAATGTAAGGGTTCCCCTAATCAACAGCCCGACGATTAGGAATTTCTGAACGCGTGATGTCAAAGGTTACACGCGAACATTGAGCGCTTAATGTACAAGTTCATAAACTTTATGAAGAGTTAGACGTACAACACTTTCTGAGATAAAAATGACGGAAAAAGATGCGGGTAGTGGATAATCCTAGAATTTAATTAGGATTCGATATTTGTAATAAATAGTAAGCGATTAAAGACAAAATCGTCTTATGTATGCAATGAATTCTCCTCTGACTTCCAAGAGCGGTAAGTCACGTGACCTAAACATGACCTGGTTTGACCGAATTTCAATAGCAGGACATTCCTTTGCAATTACAATGTTTGAGAAGGATTTGAAGCAAAGTTATGACAAATTAATTAGTTTGAATATACCATTAAATCACCCAGTTTGTACGCGGGAACCCATCTTTAACAGTCACAAAAATGGATGTATTTACTAATAAGTAACTTTTAGTAAATTAATCTATTCTGGTTCATTATTACACTAACATTTTTGACGTGATCGTAAGGCGTAGGAATTAGAATAAGGAACATTTGGGGAACACTGGATAAAAGATTCTTGTGAAGAAAATATTAATTCACTAGAAAACTTCTCTACACCTTCAGATATGGTATCTTTTAGTTTAGGAGAATATTCTTTAGATTCTTCTAAGGAGACCTCAAAACAACCAGTTTGAAAAACACGTACACTATCAAAATCTAATTCTGGAGGCTCCCATTGAACAGCAACATCTTCCATGATTCTACCACTAGGTATTAATATTGGAGAAAGGGATATATCTTTAGTCATTGGTTGAAATGTTGTTTGAGTAGAAGTAGATCGCACAAAACTACTTGCTGATATTTCTTTATTTGTCAAACTTTCAACAGATTCTTTATTGTCTTCAGAGTTCATGTCTAGATATTTACCAAATATCTCATTTCTGTCCTTTAATGTTGTTTCTCCACTGCATGCTCTGTTGAAAATTGTAAATTTGTTAATGACAGCTGCTGTGATGGTGTGTGATAAGTTCTTGTTTACTGAAGTATTTTCAAGGCTAGATAGTCTTTTCTGGTCTGATGAAACATGATTAAATGGAGGATAATCATTTCTGTGGTTTTCTGTAATCACCACACTATGAACTATTGTTTCAAGGATCTCTTTAATAGTAGTTTCTCTCTCAGTATCAGATGAGATCACTGGAGCTAGATCTAACGCCATATCTTCTCTCTGAAAATGTATAACCAGCGGCTGCCAGGCAGGATACGCCCACATTTTTGAGAGATGGATAGAGAACAAGCTAAAAAGAAAGTGATTTTTCCTACAATCAAGGGCCATAATTCAGAAAATTAAAATTCGATATGCGCAAATATCGAAAGGAACCGAGATCTTTGTGTTATAAACTTATATTTCAAGTTTCAACAAAATTGGATAAAAATTGTGACCTCTATAGGGTCCACAACCTTGATATACCATATTTTTACGCTATTTGAGAATGAACGGCGGCCATTATGTCTGTCAATTTTGGGCCGATTTTCATGAAATTCAAACTCAGTCGTCCTTAGGGTGAAACGGTGATATAATAATACGTTTTTTTAAATCGGATAAAAATTATGACCTCTATAGGGTCCACAAGCTAAAAACGCGATTTTTCGTACAATCAGGGCCATAATTCAGGAAATTACGGTCCGATATGCGCGAATATCGAAAGGAACCGAGATCTTTGGGTTATAAACTTATATTTCAAGTTTCAACAAAATCGGATAAAAATTGTGACCTCTATAGGGTCCACAACCTTGATATACCATTTTCTTACGCTATTTGAGAACGAACGGCGGCCATTTTGTCTGTCAATTTTGGGCCGATTTTCACGAAATTCGAATTGAGTCGTCCCTAGGGTGTAACGGTGATATAATAATACGTTTTTTTAAATCGGGTAAAAATTATGACTTCTATAGGGTCCACAAGCTAAAAACGTGATTTTTCGTACAATCAGGGGTCATAATTCAGGAAGTTACGGTCCGATATGCACGAATATCGAAAGGAACCGAGATCTTTGGGTTATAAACTTACATTGATATACCATATTCTTACGCTATTTGGGAACGAATGGCGGCCATTTTGTCTGTCAATTTTGGGCCGATTTTCACGAAATTCGAACTCAGTCATCCTTAGGGTGTAACGGTGATATAATAAAACGTTTTTTTAAATCGGATAAAAATTATGACTTCTATAGGGTCCACAAGCTAAAAACGTGATTTTTCGTACAATCAGGGGCCATAATTCAGGAAGTTACGGTCCGATATGCACGAATATCGAAAGGAACTGAGATCTTTGGGTTATAAACTTTTATTTCAAGTTTCAACAAAATCGGATAAAAATTGTGACCCCTATACGGCCCTATTCTTACGCTATTTGGGAACAAACGAAATTCGAACTCAGTCATCCTTAGGGTGTAACGGTGATATAATAGAACGTTTTTTTAAATCGGATAAAAATTATGACTTCTATAGGGTCCACAAGCTAAAAATGGATTTTTCGAACAATCAGGGCCATAATTCAGAAAGTTACGGTGCGATATGCGCAAATATCGAAAGGAACTGAGATCTTTAGGTTATAAATATCGAAAGGAACTGAGATCTTTGGGTTATAAACTTACATTTCAAGTTTCAACAAAATCGGATAAAAATTGTGACCTCTATAGGGTCCACAAGCTAAAAACGTGATTTTTCGTACAAACAGGGGCCATAATCCATGAAGTTTTGATCCGATACATGCCAATATCGAAAGCAGCCAAGATCTTTTGGGGATAAACCTATATTTCAAGTTTCATCGAAATCGGATAAGAATTGTGACCTGTAGAGAGTCCACAAACAATTGTGGATGGACGGACGGACGGACAGGGGCGACGGCATAATACGTCCACATGAAAATGTGGGCGTATAAAAACATGATTTTTCGTACAAACAGGGGCCATAATCCATGAAGTTTCGATCCGATACATGCCAATATCGAAAGCAGCCGAGATCTTTTGGGGATAAACCTATATTTCAAGTTTCGTCGAAACCGGATAAGAATTGTGACAGGGGCGACGGCATAATACGTCCACATGAAAATGTGGGCGTATAAAAACGTGATTTTTCGTACAAACAGGGGCCATAATCCATGAAGTTTTGATCCGATACATGCCAATATCGAAAGCAGCCGAGATCTTTTGGAGATAAACCTATATTTCAAGTTTTGTCAAAATCGGATAAGAATTGTGACCTGTAGAGGATCCACAAACAATTGTGGACGTCCGGACGGACAGGGGCGACGGCATAATACGTCCACATGAAAATGTGGGCGTATAAAAAGATTAAGAATCCAGAATAGAGGATAAAAATTAAACAAATAGCTAGTTAACAGTCACAGAAAAATGCATTGTAATACTTTACACCAAATTTGACAATAATGTTAAGATTGCCATGAATCAGAAAAAAAAATACAGTTCAATATCTAACTGTATCGTGCAGCTATGGCTTGCTAGTTTTGTTGCTTTTGTGCCAAAAACATAATGGTTCACCACTCAGATGAGCAGTATTGCATGTACTGTTAACATCTTGGTTACCTCAGCGTTACAAATAATTTGTCATTCCATCATCAAATTCTGGTCAGACATTGAGTCTGACCAATCCCTAAGTTGTACTATTTCAAAACGATAAGATTAATGATACCTTTGTTATACATGGCTGTAAAGATGAAGATTCTTGCTTTCTCTGTATGTAATTTTCTGAAAATAGGAAATTTAGTTGAATCAAACACTAGACTTATAGAAATTATGTTTATGATTCTAACATATATATGTTGAAGTAACAAATACACTCTGCACACTTTTTTGTGCCTTAGTTATATACCTTACATTTAAAATATATTTATTAATATATAAATAAAGTTACCCAGATCTTTGACAATACCCTTCGTACAGTCCTTGTTACTGGAATGGTTGGCTTCTTTATCACTTTCATGTTCTAACTGGCTTAGCTGTAAGGTAAATTCAGACATTTGTACCTCAGCAATTATTACAGCTGTACATGACAATTTTCACACTTTACATACCCAGTTAAAGGGTGTATAGCTTTAACTCAATATTATCTGTAATATTCGACATTAAAAACACAAATTATAATTCAATATTAGTCCATTTCAATCAATATTGATGTGAAAATATGGGATCCTGAAACTTCTGGTATTGTTTAGCTAGTATAAGGTCCAACCCATCAAAATTCATATGCCCTTTAATGTGGATGTATATAGTTGTCACCCTTGTTTCTTGTTTTCAGGCTGTTCATTCACAATTTGTGAGAGTATTTTTAGATTTCATCTAGAAACTTACTAGGTTTGTTTTGCTAGTCATAAGGTCCAACCCCATCAAAATTCATAGTAAATGATTGATTTTGCCCCTGTCATAGAAAGCCTGTGAAGTCAGACTTTCTGAAATTCTAAATCAGTCTGGAATTGTTCAGCTAGTCACAAAGGAGAACCCTATCGAAAATCATTGATCTTGTGAGATGTAATTGCCACTGCTAACAAACATTGTACAGGTTTCTACAGATGAGAGTTTTAAAAAAATTGTTGGGATTGTTGGCTAAACCATATTACTGGGTGAAAAACAATTGACTAGCTAATTAAATTAATTACTTCAGCTAATACTTCATCCATTTCTGTAGGTTTATCTCTAAAATAGAAATAAATACATCATCATAAATAAGATATAAGAAGTTCTCCAACAATGAACTCTTTTGGGATTTAATTAGCCTGGCGTGTTTTAATAACATTTCTCCTCTAATTAACCACCTGACTGGTGACAATCACATATGGGTGTCTGGTGTTGATGAGTTATGTTGTTTTCATAATTCAGGTACAACCCTCATTTACATTAAGACTTACTGTAAAGCTGTTTTCTTTACCATATCTTCTTTTATATTGAATATATTAGTTGTGCACTCTTCGCGTTCTTAAAAATAAATTACATAATATTTAAAACTTATTCCTTAGTTATCTTAGTGAAAGGAGTAGAAAAAAATAATGATAATCATCAGGTGTACATGAGAGAGAGAGAGGAATGGGGTTTAACGTCCACTAGACACAAACTAGGTCATTTTGGGACTAACATATGGTTCAATTTTATTTCAATAATTCACTTGCGCGTAGGGGTCTTTAGCAGTGGGAGGAAACCGGAGGATCTGGAGAAACTCACGAGGTTGGACAGGTGTACAAGTGAAATAAATGTATTTTATTGACAGAATATATACATACCACTATCATCACTCAACAGATCAAAGGGTGATGGTGTAGATGACATTGGAGTTTCCAGCCTGAAAATATCTTGTTCCTTTGTGTAATGTTTAGTTGTTGAACAATCTGTATCAGACAGATTAGAAGCAAATGAAATAGATTTCTTTGCCAATTTAAAATTGTGTGGAATGGGGTTGTTTTTAGTCTGTTTTCTACTATTTAGTTCCTCTTGTGTATATGTAGCTTTAGCAGAACTTAATTCAGAGTTCAATGGCCATGAGATATTTGTGCCATTGAATGTAGCAGAGTTTCTTGCTTGAAATTTGAAATCTGATTGGCTAAAATTTAACAATTTTTGTTGGTTTTCAAAATTCTGCTTTATTTCTTGAATATTGTTAGTATGCTTGGAAGAAGTAGAATAAAGTCTTTTCATGGGAGTGCTCTCGCTGTCAGCATCATAAATAGAAAATTGACCATTCACCTGTTTTGTCTTCTGGCTTGGACTTATATAATGTGTTTTTCGTGTGGAAGGAGATTTTCTAGGAGCATGATAGAACAATGTTTTGTCTGGTAATTTATTTGGTGTCTTATACATGCATATCTGATCATCAAGAAAAGAATCATTTGGTTTAAGAGGGTTTAATCTACTTGTACTAAATTCTGGATCACTGAAACAGGAATTACCAGACAACAGATTTTGTGGAACCATAATCAGTGGTTTGGTAAGTCCTTCATTCACTGAAAGATTTGTGTGATAGCTTATGGGTGTTTGTAGATGTTGATCTATATCATATTTGTTTAAAGATTCTGTCTGAAAATCTTCTGGTGCCCACATATATCTTAGTTTCTCATCTTGTTTACTATTTACATGTGAACTAATTTCTTTTGGAACATCCTGCAATGAGAAAAAATTAACGGATTGATCACAAAATAAGCAGGATCCACATGTCCTGACTAGTCAGGTATGAAAGCTGGATTTTTGGCAGAATAACATATTTCCTTTTAAGTGCTTTGATCATGTGTTGAAGGAGAATTTCAACATTTCTACCCACTCTTGGATCGATTGTGTTCAATTTCCAAATGACATTAGACAACTATTTCAAATGCCAGGACTACATGTAATTTATACGTGTGAACAGTACACATATCAAAACCAGATTTGATTAAAATTGTGGATGTTATACTTGACTGATGTCTGACACTTAAATTAGAAACATATAGCCAGCTTGCTTAGGTGAAAAATTGTTCACTTTTTGACAAAAGCATGTTCATTCAACTTATAGTATTTAGCCTCACGTCAATTTCAACTATACATTCTTAGTTGTAAAATGCTTATATATTAGTCTGAACTATCAGAGAATTGAAATCAAAACAAAAATGTTGTCTGATTGGATATCGGTCTAAAATTCAATTGGCAGAAAATTTTTTTAAAAAATTAAAAAAATGCACATTTATGATTACCCAATCTAGTAAGACAGTTAGAGCTATAAACTGGCACATGTTAAGTTTAACGAAGAGTTGAACAACCAGGTTTGTATTAAAACATAGATTTCAACACTTAGATCAATCATCTATCATAAAGAAAACATCAAAAATTACATATATTCCAATTTTCATGCTTTTGTCAAAAAGTGAATAATTCTGTGAAAAAATCAACTTGACTTAAATAGGGAATCTATATCCTGCACTGCATAGCATTAAATAAATATGAACAACACCTGTTGGTTTTTAGAGGATGACTTCAAGGAACTGAAATCTGTCAATTTACTTTGTGGTCTTTTCTTGCAGGGAATATCACACTGATTAACATGATAAGAAAACAAAGAGTTCTTTTCTTCATCTTTGCTTCTATGCTGTTTGATAAAATTGTTTAGCTTTTGAGGTGTATGTTGATCACTAAAAATGTATTTAAAGAAATATTATCTAATTAAAATTAAATTTCAATAATTTAATGACATCATTTCGACTTCGTAGTGTATGAAATGTATGTTGATCACTAAAAATGTATTTAAAGAAATATCATTTAATTAAAATTAAATTTCAATAATTTAATGACATCATTTTGACTTCGTAGTGTATGAAATGTACCAACCTGACAGATAGCTACTAAATATCTAATTTAGAATTGTGCCCAATTTTTGAATAGAATACATCCTATTAGCTCACGGAAGACATACTAGCAAAATGTGATACCAAGTAGGTTGGTCAAGAATTAATAGAATGTGTTTGGTGTGGGAAATTGAACCCCTCCTGAAAATCAGTTTAGATTCTACAAAACTATGTTTAATTTTTATATTATTATTATATTTTTTCATCACTGAAAACAAGAAAAAGATAAATTTAATGCATGTATGAACATAATTACCTCCCTTGACACACTAAGGGGAGATAATCAGAAATGAAGACGATGTTTAAATTTTCATTTTCTGCCAAATTTTCATGATTTTGAGGTAGAACTGTAGAAGTAATAGGAAGTAAACAGACGTGACCCTATAGAGTGATAGATGCCTTTGGCTGGACCAGACCATTCAATATTTCTGTCAGATTATTATGAAATATTGGGCTCTTTCTGGATATAAAGAAATAGTAAAAAAAAATGATATAGGCCAAAGAATGGCATGGGGAGAGGATTACTAGTCTGAGTATATCAATTTTTCTACATTATAACAAAAGTAGGTATACATAATGATTAATAAAGGGAAAGATCAGATTACTCACTCAGTAGCTACATTTAACATAAGTTTAGAAGGTGTTGTATTTGGTGAGTGAGGTAAGTCCACTTCTTCTAGTTTATTTGGACATATTACAGTTGATCTATAACCTTTTAAATCCACCTTCCTCACATTTTTCATATCTCCATTCTCTACAAACATTTAATTAACACGCTTAAAGATACATTGTCCCGAAAGTATTTATCAGGTGGTTATTTCCAATAAAAGTACGGTGAATTTGGTATGGAAAGTATAGACGCCCAATCTTACTAGAAAAATACTGGATTACCCGAAAAACACCCAGGGTATCACATCACTAACAAGCAACCCAACTCAGGACTGTTGTCTGCCAGCTTATTGTGTGCAAGCTTGACAGAGGAAGCGGTTGTTATTTCTTGATCAAATGGTTAGGCGGTTTTGGAAAGATTGTCAACGTACAAGACTCTGCAATTAAAAGGTGGAAAAAGAAGTTGACAGAAAATTAAGAATTTACTTAGGCCTGAATATGTATGGTAAATGGACAGTGAGTAAGTAATGAAAAATACATTCTGAAAAATGGACCCTCCCTCAATGAAGTTAGGTGACAATCATGGCTTCTAACAATAGTTTATCTCTACCTTGAGGTATCTTTCCCCGAATACAAAGTTTTTGAGGGATTTTAAGCAAATTTTTGATAGATTAATTAGTATGAATATGTTTTTAATCCAAATATATCATCAAATCACACAGTTTGTACTGGAAAAGTATCTTTAATAAAAAGGTGTGGAATCTGTACATTGCTGTTCTCAATCTTAATTTTAAAACATAATTTGCCAGGCAAGGTAACATACACTCAACAGTATCATCGTCATACATGCATCCATGTATCATTGATGATTTTTCTTGTTTCTTTGTTTACATTCTCACACAAAGTTCTGGGATTATGGGCATATATTGTAAATAATGATCACATGCCAGAATTTGTGAAAATTGGTCAACTCAATTTTACAGGGTGAGGGCAATGGGGTAATAATACTATATCCTGCGATCTGTCAAGAGTGAGGATGAGTATGGTAATGATATCTATTGCAATTATTATATCATTCAGGGGACTTAACTCTAAAACTACTTTTGCAAAAATTCACTGGGAACATCTTTACCCACAATATTAACTATTCCTGAAATTTGATAACAATCTGTCAACAATTGAACTCTGTAGATTGAGTACAGTAATGTATGTTTATTGTCCCAGGCTCCACTTTTCAAAGAAAGCTGGGAAACTATTAAAATGGGGTCATCCATCTGTCTTCTACACTTTTTTGGGGACACAATAACTGCTTATTGAGCTAGAATGTTCAAATTTGGTGTAGGCATGTATTCAGTGTTTTCCTTGGTGATGTTTGATATGATGAGTATTTTCTGCTTTGGCTAAGCAGAGATAAGCAATTTAATTGGTTGATGCTTGGGACATGATAACTTTGGTTCTAATTAAAATTAAGTTAGAGTAATGAAACTTGGTCTTTAGTTTCCTTACATCAATACCTTGACTAAGTTCGATAATGAGTATTTTCTGCTCAGACTCAGTTTCATTGCTCGATGCTTTACAAAAAGATAAATATGAAATTAATATGTGTCATCTATTTATTTTGGGATTGAGGCTGTTGGCTTGTTAATAGTCACATCAGTCAGGGCCAATTACTTAGAAACTACTTTTGAAAAAATGTTCACAATTCATAGAGGACATCTTTACTCCAACTATTCTAAAACTTGGATCATAAGATAGGAAAAGAGTTTAACATCTCGTCAGCACAAAACTTCGTTCATTTCGAGGAAAATTTCGCCTTGACAATGGTGTTTCCGCCTACTCTTCATCAAATAAACTTTCAAGGGTTCTTTTACGTGGTTGGATTTCGACTAAGCCACAATTGTTGTTAGCCCTACAGGCAACTTCAGTACTATTATCAGAAAAACACTCAAAATTACTCATGACAATATGAGCAAAATCCGTTCAGAACTTTACTCTGTAGTACGATTACAAATCAATGTGGATGGACAGACAGGACGACAACAAACCATATTGTTTTATTTTAGCAACACTGAACATTTAAGATACATTCTGGGAGATTCGGTAACGAGTTGGCAGTTCTCACTATAATAGTTAAACACTAGATAATGTAAAGGCAATTTGCTGAAAATTTCATTCAAATTGATCCACTATGAACCGAGAACTAAGCGACTGAAATTTCCCCATAGCCTCGGTCATCATTACTAAAGTCAGTACAATAAACAGCATAGTCTCGATTATCCATTTAATAGTTATGCAGTAAATCGGCTCACAATCCACTAAAGATTGCAGGCTAGCGCTGCCATCTAGAGTTGATTATGTCCTGGATAGGTTAATTAATGTCTAATTAATAATTTAGATAACATTTCAGGCCTAAAGTAAAGAAAGACCTGCAATAGACAGATTTAGCTCTTGCATATGTATGTTTAACCGTCTCAAAATAAGACCACAGTAATACAGCATCCAAATTGAAGAAATCTATCACATACCAGGATGAATAAATGCTCTGTTAACAGTTCTCAAAGCTGCTAAATCTTGACTGAAGTTTTGTGGTTGATTAATTTTACCATGGTTGTTGGTATAAATTCCATCTGTGCGTCTTTTTCTTTCAAAATATTCCTGTTAATATAAGACAACATGAAGTGATATTATGGGTAATGGTATTAAGATTTTATCAGATCACAGTTTGGCTTGGTTCTTTTACATTGTCTTTATGAACCACTCTGCTTGATATCTTTTCAACAGCCCAGGTGGCAACTTGATTTTTATTAGTATTGTTAAAATCTTTGATTTGGTGAACATATATTTTTTATAGCATACCAGTACCGGTATTACATATTTTTAAGAAAAATTTCTTGGCAACCCCTGGAACTAAATCTAAACTGATCTTTTTCAGATTTCACTAAATATTTGTTCAAACTGACAATCATAAAATGTTTTAGACAAAGAAATCAAGATTCATTTTGTGTTTAATTGAGATTTTATACCCGGTTGTGGAAAAATAGGTAGGGCCTACCATAACAAAACAGGAACAAAATACAGTGCCTAGATACATTAAGCTTAGGCTATATGAACTTAGTCCACACTGAGTGATTGACAGATTAGTGTTTAGACCTAAATTATTGGTGTGCCTTCACAATCACACAAGTCACAAAGTAAGTGCATCTCTCATCAAATGAGATTTACAATCATCCATTTATTATAAAAGTGCTGCGTTTTCATTTGCATCTCAGTAATACCGTACTCATGATTTGGCATGAGATTGAGAGACGTGACATAAGTTATTTATAGAATTTATTTGACAGGGGGTAAAAAATATTGAGTATGTATACTTTTTCATAGTGATACGGTACAATATAAAAGTCATATCATGAAATCAATAGAAGGGACTTCAACAATATATAGGAAGATGTCATTTTATAAGATTGTAAACTGAATAGGCCTAAAGTACATGTGTGGAGGAAGTGGAGGAGGATCCCAGAGTGCAGTGAAGTCTGAAGGGCAGGGTGGTTGGTGTACAGGGGTTGAGGGGTTCTTGCTGGTGCTTCGATACAAATAACTTCAAAATTCTGAAGCAGAAACAATGAAATCTGAAGTCTTCTGGTCGGTTACCAATACCATTTAAACCTCATCAGATCAGAATCGAGCTCAGATCACTAGAAACAAGATTTAGTATACAGAACAAGAATCTTGAATCCAGGGTCCATCTTAAAAAAGAAAAAAGTCTTTACTTAGTATTTCATAGTCAGAATGTAGGCTACAGACAAAATACATTTTATTAAGAAAGGACAGCCGGCAAAGATGCTAACTACTGGTTCAAAGGGGCTCAATTATCACGGTTTTTGTTTTTTTCCAAACAGAGTGGATTGCATGTGGGGGTTGTGGGTGGCCCAAGTCCCCTATAGTTCCCCCAGCAGCCTCTCCTGAGTAGTATTTCACTGAAGAGATGGAGAAGTTGCAGGTGATGGAGAGTCAGTCAATAATTATAACCCTTTTGTAAATTCTTTTTGGTCATGGCACGATCCAGTTCATAATTTTGATTATTATTATAAGGTTTTCTTAGTATCTAGGCCTATTTCATAGTCAAAATGTTAATGTGGCTACAGACGATATACATTGCTAGGTCAGCTCAGAGGGGCTCAATCATGTTTTTTTTTTCCAACCTGGAGTGGAGTGCATGTGGCCTGTGTTTGGGGGTTGTGGGTGGCTCAAGTTCCCTAGTTCCCCCAGAAGCCCTGACCCTCCACCCCCAAATAGACCCTATCTGAGCTGCGCTACACAGACCTGGGTCTCGTGAGTAAGGTGCAGGACCTATTTCAGTAGCTACAATAATATGTAACAGTGGAACCGTTTCTATTAGGCCCTAAGTAGTAGTAGGCCTACTAACTATTTCAGTAGGCCCTATTATTATTAGTACCGTAGCCTATTTGGGGAAAAGTTGCAGGGAGTCAGTCAATTATTGACCTTTTGCAATTTTTTTTCACCATGGCAAGATACCCGGTGTCGTGCTCCGCCGATCCAGTTCATAATTAATAGGGTTATTGCATAAAAACTTTTAAAAACAATCAACTTTGCGTTCAAACAGTCTCACTGAAGTGAAAAGAAACCAAAGCAGACGACGGAAATGCCAAAGCTGCTGAGGGTCAAGGTCTAAACAGAGTCACGTGGGTCTTGGGTTCAAGATGGACTCGAAAGGTCTTGTTTGACAGGACGTTATGAAACATGTGAAAGAACCTAACAAAAATTAAGCTTGTTTGGACAAAAATGGGCAGTATGTCGAAAATGTTAGATGCAGCAACGAAAACGAAATTTTCCCGTGTCCACGTCGCTGCGGGTACAGCTGCATTTTTACTAGCAGCGTATGGGATCAGAAAATATTATCCAAAAATTATTGTAAACAAAAGGTCATCAAATTCGTCTCGACATCGAACAGATAAAAATAATTCTCCATTGTACGATGCAGGTGAAACGCCTCAAAATGGAAAACTGTTCAGATCTAGTCCAGGTGTGAATAAAGAGTTCTATAATCAACTCAAAGATTTGTTGAAAATTATTATCCCTAGTCTCTGGTCAAAGGAATTTGCAATCTTAATCCTGCATACAGCCAGTTTAGTAACCAGAACCTTTCTTTCTATTTATGTTGCAAAATTAGATGGGAGAATAGTTATGACAATTGTTCAGAGAAATGTAACAAAATTCTTACTACAGTTATCTAAGTGGTTGCTGATAGCCGTCCCTGCAACATTTGTGAATAGTTTAATAAGATATTTAGAGTGTAAACTTGCTCTTGCCCTTCGTACTAGATTAGTGAACCATGCCTACAATTTATATTTTAAAAACCAAACATACTATGCTGTTAGCAACCTTGATAATAGACTCTCTAATGCAGATCAATGTTTAACAGAAGATGTTAATAGCTTTGCACAGTCATTAGCACATTTGTATTCATGTCTTACCAAACCACTTTTAGATGTAGCACTCATGTCATTTGCTCTGTATAGTTTGGCAAACAGTCGTGGAGCTAGTTCTAAGATACCTATTGGAATAGCTGCTATTGCTATACTTGTAACAACAAAGATTCTCCGTGCAGTATCTCCAAAGTTTGGAAAATTAGTAGCAGAGGAAGCAAAGAGGAAAGGCTATCTACGTTTTGTGCATTCCAGAATTATTGCAAATGCTGAAGAAATTGCATTTTATGGGGGCCATCAGGTAATACTAGTAATATTGATAGTTGACCATGTTTTGATTTGTTTGCATCTAATAGACTTTGTTTCATCCTATACTATAGGGCAGATTTTCTCTACTAATCGATTTTAATTTCAGCAAAGTTTGCACATGGACAATGAGTAAGCCAATCAGAATAATGATATGGTTACCGCTACATCTTGTTTCAGTGTGTCATTGTGACTATTCATGATCATAATATTATTTTTTAATGTTTAAGTATGTTCTTTATTAATTTAAAGGAGCTAAATCGCTAATAGGCCTACTTGGTACCTAGAAATTGACACAAATGGGTCACAATGCATATAATAATGTAATATGAAATTGAATGTGTATATTAATATATTATAAACTGATTTACATTAAATCGTTTCTGTTTTTACTGTAATTTCTAATCAGTTATGTTCAGCGAAATATGCCAGAAGTCTCAATTGAATGGCAATCTTTAGCATCTGGTTATTCCAATCTACACCGATGGTACTTATTGCGCATGTTTTCCAGATAAGAATATACGTGTAGCGTCACCATTTGACATGACTTCTGGAATAGCCTCGTTCTTTGAGTCCCCTGTTCAAATGGCGCTGAAACGCATTATGGTACATGATTCGTGTACCAATGGTAAAATGTTTATTTTGTCTTGAATATTGGATATCAGACGCCCATCTTTTCCCTGTAAGATCACAAGACCAATGTTGATTTGAATTGACAAATAATTCATGTTTTCAAAGTCGAAGATTTTTGATGATATTGAGTTAGAGACTTAGCTGCTTTACAGTATTATATGCGTTGCGACCTATTTGTGTCAATTTCTAGGTCCCAAATGTTAGCGATTTAGTTCCTTTAAAATATATTACCTTTACTGTAAACGATGATTATCAAAGAACCGTATGTGCAACAAATGTGTTATCGTTTGGTACCGGTATAGCCCTTTAATAACCATGTATGTCATGTTAATATTTTCTTTCATGTTTTGAGTAAATTCATCGGCTATTTTTTAATATCAAATATTGTACAGATGCAAAGGAACATATATTATATAACAAGCCAACAGTGAGGCTGATGTCCCCCGCCGAAATAGGAAAATAATTAGAGGACACATATAAATTTATCACAAATTATCTTTTACAAAGTATTGAACAATCAAACAGTATATCTTTACTTATAGTCTAAGCATACAATGTTTTTGATGGAATAATTATAGCATATTAAGGGGAAAACATGCTCTATGCCTACAGATCTAGAGTTTGGTTGTATCAACGGGTCTATTTTCCATCTTGCTGCAAGTTGTGCAAAGTTCACTGTTTTCTTTCTGTCATTAAATGTCAATTCATTATTGCATACTACATATTTAATAAATTTATAATAGTCTCTTTTTCAATTTGTTTTTTCCATTTATTTGTTTATTTACCTTGCCTATATTCATTGTATTGGATTGTATTGGAATTGCTCAATTGATGCTTTTATCAATACCTGGTTATAATATTATGACATGTAATGTGGCAAGTTGAGTCGGGACATGTAGGCTATAATGTAACCTAAATGTATACATAAGTGGATTTCGTTTCATTTTTTTCGAAAATATTGTACAGATAAAAGAGGAGGAATTACAGGGGTAATACATTGGAAAGCTTCTTCAAGAACTAAAGCATAAACTATATTGTTTTCCAAAGTCTCGACCAATCAAATTGCGTATCGCTCTGCTTACCCTGAGCAGAAAATGCTCATTATCAAACTTAGTCAAGGTATTACTGTAATGAAACTATACACCAAGTTTCATCAATCTCACTTAATTAGAACTAAAGTTATCGTGTCCCAAAGCATCAACCAATCAAATTGCTTATCTCTGCTTACCCTAAGCGGAAAATGCTCATCTTCGAACTCCATCAAGGCATTGACCTAATCAACACATACACCAAGTTTGAACATTCTAGCTCAATTAGGAAGAGAGTTATCGTGCCCCAAAGTATCAACCAATCAAATTGCTTATCTCTGCTTACCCTAAGCGGAAAATGCTCATCTTCGAACTCCATCAAGGCATTGACCTAATAAACACATACACCAAGTTTGAACATTCTAGCTCAATTAAAAGTTATCGTGTCCCAAAGCATCAACCAATCAAATTGCTTATCTCTGCTTACCCTAAGCGGAAAATGCTCATCTTCGAACTCCATCAAGGCATTGACCTAATCAACACATACACCAAGTTTGAACATTCTAGCCCAATTAGGAAGAGAGTTATCGTGTCCCAAAGCATCAACCAATCAAATTGCTTATCTCTGCTTACCCTAAGCGGAAAATGCTCATCTTCGAACTCCATCAAGGCATTGACCTAATAAACACATACACCAAGTTTGAACATTCTAGCTCAATTAGGAAGAGAGTTATTGTGTCCCAAAAAGTGTGACGGACAGACAGACGGACGAACCCATTTTAATAGTCCCCTGCTTTCTTCGAAAGGCGGGGGACAATAATAATAAACATTCTTTTTGTAAACATTCAACTTTGGAAATATTGCTGGTCTATACAGTGCATGATCCATGCGCTGTACTTGATGACGAATGGTAAATTTTACCTGCGTGTTATTTTTATAAATTCGGTTTTGACTTTTGTGTTCAACATTTCCTTTTAGCACATTCCCGAGTCCGAAACGTCGAGGACAAATTTTTTTGACTCTGAAAAGTCGTCAGCTCAAAATATCAGGGGACCGAAATGTCATGTAATCAAAGAAATAGGCCTCAGGGTAGGTGACATTTCGGACTCGGTGAAAAGTTTAAAGGAGCGGTTTAACACAAACATCAATTCAGTTTGTAATAATATTTAAAAAAAAAAAACAGAACATAGTTTAAAACGATAACAATGATTTATAACGGAATGACCACAAAGGTCATTTAAATTAGATAAAATAATCATAATTTTTAAAAATAACCTCCGTCGGTCATACATTTATTTTATAAAATAATGATTAATTATACAAGTTTTTTCAGCTATTTCAGTAATCTAAGCCATCTTTTACTTGCGTTTATTGCAATAAGTAAAAGACAACTAACATACATACCAGTTTATTCATCAAGTTCAATACCGAGTCTGAAACAAAAAGTTGTCAAGTAAGCCCAAACCATCGTCAAACGGTGTTGAGTCCAAAAGGTCGCAGGACCGAAATGTCATGTTACCATGTGGGCACCATTTATAAGGAAAGATGGCATATTGGATTATGGCCCCTGATTGTAGATATAATTGTGTTTTTAGCTTGTGATCCCTCTAGAGGTCACAATTTCTAACCAATTTAAAAAAACGTTCGAATATATCACCGTTGCACCATGTTGATGGTTGAGGTCGAAAATTGGACAGAAACCGCCTGACAAAATGGCCGCTTCCTGTACGCAGATAGTGTTAAAGTATGTACATGTAATATCAAGGTTGTAGACCCACTAGAGGTCACAATTTTGAAACGATTTTATGAAACTTAAAATATATGTTAATATCCCAAAGATCTTTGATATTCGCACCGATCGAGCTGTGCTGTGTCGACAATTGAATACACAATAGATTATAACCTTATCTCATCATTGGGTTTATCTCTGTCCGTAAAATTTGGAACAAAAGAAGAATTTCATTGCACAAAACAAATGAATTCAACAGTTTTTTTTTTGACCCAGATCAATGAGGGTACAGTATGCCATTTTGAATAATCATAAATTTTCTTTCAGGTTGAGCTGACACATTTGCAAAAGAGCTACAAATCTCTAATTGATCAAATGGATATAATATTCTCTAAACGACTGTGGTATGTGATGTTAGAACAGTTTTTAATGAAGTACTTGTGGAGTGCAAGTGGATTAGTAATGGTGGCTGTACCTGTGATAACTGCTACAGGTCGACGTACAGACGGTAATTTAACATTTATATTGTTAATTAGGGTTTCACACTGCGTAGCTTGTGTGAAACACTATTGTTTTTGTTAAGATTATTATTCTTCTTATTAGGGTTTCACACTGCGTAGCTTGTGTGAAACACTATTGTTTTTGTTAAAATTATTAAGCTTTCATATTACATATGAAAGCTTATTGTTTCTGTTAAGATTATTATTGTTATTTTTTTTTTGTGTTTTGTCCACAAATCGGATTTCTCAGAATCTAACCATAGGATCGTTCTGAAACTTTTACCTATCCCCCCAAAAATGGGTGGTGGCTGTTGATTAAATATATTTTCAAAACGTTTTACGAATCCGAAATCACCGAATTTTACGAAGGAATGCATTTGACCTACAATGCTGTAACTCTGTGACTATTTGACCTATTTTACTAATTCTTTTTTCTTTGAGTATCTTGAAACATTTACTTCAAATCTGCAATTTCGGATTTTGGCATTTCGAAAATTCGTCGCTGTCATTTCGAACCGGAAGTTATTACCAATTTGACAACTTCTTTAATAGTTGTGCGATTTTCGTGAAATTTAGAATGTTAGTAGATCTTGCCAATGCGACTTCAATGATGTCCTTGGAAATTTTCTAAATTATCTCCCCTTGGTGAAATTAAGGATCAAAGTTTTCAAAAAAATCGACGAAATATAGGTCAGATTGCCCTGAAATTTTTTTTCTGTACTAGCTAAGACAGTACTGATGAGTACACAAAATATGGAGTTTGTCGAGCAAACCGGAAGTGCCACCATCTCAAAATGTGAAAAGTCCATACGGCTTTTGCAATATTTTACTTAAAGACATAAGAGTTACATTTTCTGAATGCTTGAAGGAAAGCCTAAAAATCTATCGGTTTAGAATTTTGATTTAGGTCAACTGATGGACACCATTTTGAAATGAAAATGAAAATTAGTGAAAAATCCACATTTATGGGCTTGAAAACATACACAATTGGTCGTGGCTTAGAGAATCTGTCTCCTATTACCGAAATTAATACATTTGAGGATAGCCTGGATCATGGTCAAATGTTTGGTATTTGAATATTTCAAAAATTCGAATTTCTCCTTTGATGTTTTCCGTGCCGACAAGGTTGTTTTCGAGTTTAGCTGGTTTTGATTTCGCGCATGCGCTACACAGGAACCAACGGTACCATGAGTACTAAATTCCGGCGAGCAACTTTTCACGTTGGTACCTAGGCACCCTGAAAATTTCAAGGTGATACCTGCATTCGTTCAAGTCGTTTGTTCTTGTCACCTGCCTTTCGTCGTTTTTTTTTTCTAAGTCAATTTACGGCTTCCATGAGGGGGAAAAAGTGGAATTTCGCCGTGACACCGGCACCGATTGTCCGAAAACCATGAAATTTGGACACAATACCCCCATTACCACCCCGGACTCTGTGCTTTACCCCCATTTTGATCCCATTAAAAAAAAAGAGTTTTAGCAAAAAAACGATTTTCGGAATTTAATATTGGTTTTAACCCTGTAATACCCAGACATGATATATTATTATAATCCCTATGAAATATTTTAATTATTTACTGCTATAATATGAATTATCACTTATTCCCCGTTAAATAAATATCGGTCACCTGGTGCCGCTGTACAACTTAAAGGACACTGGCCTCAAGTCAATTTACGGAGAGAGAGAGAGAGAGAAATGGGGTTTAACGTCCACTCGACACAAACTAGGTCATTTCGGGACCAACATATGGTTTAATTTTATTTCAATAATTCGCTTGCGCGTAGGGGTCTTTAGCAGTGGGAGGAAACCGGAGGACCCGGAGAAAACCCACAAGGTTGGACAGGCGACCCTACTCCTTGCGTCAATTTACGGCTTCCATGAGGGGAAAAAAGTGGAATTTCGCCGTGACACCGGCACCGATTGTCCGAAAACCATGAAATTAGGACACAATACGCCCATTACCACCCCTGACTCTGTGCTTTACCCCCATTTTGATCACATTAAAAAGAAAAGAGTTTTAGCAAAAAAACGATTTTCGGAATTTAATATTGGTTTTAATTAATTTTGAAATTGGAAATGCAAAGAGATTTTATCGCCTCTTCCGTATGTGATAGGTATTGGTACTATACACATTATCCTTAAAAGACAATTTTTTAAACTGACCGTAACGATGCATCGACACTAGAAACCGAAATCGCCTATTTTGACCTATTTTGACTGCTGGGGTATCTTTCCGTACGTGACAAGGAGTAGGTCGCCCGTCCAACCTGTGTATTTTTTCAGGATCACCCGGTTTCCCCCCACTGCTAGACCCCTACGCGCAAGCGAATTATTGAAATAAAATTGAACCATACGTTAGTCCCGAAATGACCTAGTTTGTGTCGAGTGGTCGATCAACCCCATTTCGCTCTCTCAATTTTAGCACTCCTAACTCTAAAACTAAATGCAAGGAACGGGCCTATTTACAGAGGTCACAATTTTAACCTACATGCACACCTACATGATATACATATTATTATAATCCCTATGGGATATTTTAATTATTTACTGTTATAATATGAATTATCACTTATTCCCCGTTGAATAAATATCGGTCACCGGGTGCAGCTGTACAACTTCAAGGACCTTGGCCTCAAGTGCATGGGACCAACTCTACATTTTCTGAAATGTCAATAAAAGCCCTGGAATGATTTCATTTAAAAAAAATAATCAGAAAGTAAATCTAGTTTTATTTATATGCTATTTGTTGCCAGAAAATATATTTTGTTACGAGTCTAATTCAAATTTAAAAATAAACAATGGGTCTGAGGCATATTTTATTGATATATAGAAATTAATGCAGTGTTCTCATTATGTGATAAAAGAGTGCCAGAAATGTCTCGAAATTCAGCCATTTGTGTATTTAGTATATCAAGTATATGCGTGTATTACAAAGCTGTGATTTGTGTACACCCCGCTCCCCCCCCCCCTCCTCGTGTCACTATCATGTACATATCAATTCTGCTGCCAACCCACCCACGCGAACATGACTAAATTATGAAACATTGTCTAGTCGTTTGTATGTTACGACAAAACGAGGCCAGCGTGGCTCATTTGCTGCAGAACGGAAGGCCTTGCAAGGATTAGTGTCTAGTCGTTTGGATGGTACGAAAACCCGAGGTCAAAGTGGTTCCCCGTTGGCAGTGGTGAAGTATGGAAGGCCTAGCAAGGATCTGTGTCTAGTCGTTTCGATGGGACGAAAAACGCCCGTCCCCTCGTCCATGGTACAAGGATTAGTGCCTAGTCGCTTGGATGGTATGCAAAACAGGGGTCCCCGTTCTCTCCCTTTGTCTGTGGTTCTTGACCGAAGCCCCGACAACTAACTTTGCGTGCAGTTTTTTTTAGGTAGGACGAAAAATCGAAATCCTGTGTGCATATTGGCGTGCACGAAAAATAACCCTTTGCATTTGGAATTTTATGCACCCACCCCACCCTCGAACAACGCTTAACATAACATTTTGTTTTCACTACCTACATTGTAAAATTTGTTTGATTTCAGATGACTTAGCCCTGGTTTTTCACAGTGAAAGATTTTGATGAAACTTGACATGCATGTTTATAACCCAAAGATATGGTTCCTTTCGATATTTGCGCATATCGAATCGTAACTTCATGAATTATGGTCCCTGATTGTAAGAAAAATCACTTTATATTTCGCGTGTTCTCTATCTATCTCTCGGAAATGGAATATGGAAATACACAAGCTAGCTAGTGTATTACAGGTTGGTGGTGGTGGGGATGAGGTCTTCTATTTGCAATGATTTTTTGACTACAAAATATACGCTCTAACTCATTACTCAAACTACAGCAAAAAAAAAGCGGAACGGAAACCCGATTTTATATATTCTTACAATAGCAACGCACTTCGGGATTAACTTAGAAATGGTTCCACTACTGATGTCTTCCGCCTTACTCCTGCCACAGTAGTGGCTTGTCCTACGGAGTTCCTTTCCGCAAGTTTTTTTTAGTCAAATGACTGCAAAAAGGTTACTGGCCTATGTATAGCTCCCTTAATTTACACATAAACTGACCTAAAACTGCACTGCACATATAATAAACCAATTCCCATTGAAATAAAGGTGAAGCCGTACCGCATAATTATATGATTTGATGAAACCCAACTGCTACCTGAAGTTTCTCGCCTATCGAAGTTATAATATCCGCCGGTGTCATGGCGGCTCGCACATTATAAGAATCATTGCTTTGAAAATGTAGAACGCATTAACACAAAGAAAAACTGATGGGTAACTAGTTTAGTGGTCCAGTCTTCACTATAATTTGTGATAGAATTACTTATTTAAAAAAAACTGAATGATGTAAAAATAAAAATGGTTGGAGTGCCCAAGTTTAGATTTGTCGTTGATTTCATAAAGATGTTAGGATATAGAACGTTAAATACTGTGTGATTCAACATGGCGGCCGAGGGGTTTAATATGATATAAGTACGAAATACATGTACATGTAGTACCAAATGGTTTATATGTATGAGAGTCAAGGTTTGGACTAAATGTCTTGGGGAAGTAGGGGGCGACTAGCATGTGCCTCTCTTTAGTGGACCGATGTGAGATTGCCCATTGTATTAACTGGACGGGTAGGCCTATTCACCTTCAGTTATGTGTCAATGTCAAATAAGCGGCTTCGTATCAACACGGTCGGCTCTGGGCCGGTTTAATTCTACGTATCTCTCGTAGCTGAGAGAAAAAAGATTTTTTAGCCCAGAGAATATCTTCCGTCAGAGTGGTTGTTGATTCATAGATTCTAATAACCCCTTTTGAAGTTTATATGAAAGCTTTGATATCTGCTATGCAGATCTAGTTATTCTTATTATTATTATTATTCTTTTGTTTTGAGTAGATCTCAGCAACTGATTGTCGGATCGTTACGATTTCTTCGGTTTTATCGGAAAAGTGGGTGTGACTTAGAGGATAAAGCTATTTTGAACGTTCTGCGACAATGCGAAATGTCCGAAAT